ATTTTTATTTAACATGTCTTATTATTTAATGATACCTATAGAGACTCTCTTTAGTGGAGGCTATTTGTTTTTACTGCGGAATAAATTGGTCTAAGAGTAAAAGGGGAAAGAGAGTCGTAATAAAGTTATTAAATGACCCGAATTTTTGTAAGCTTTACTGCTATTTAATCGTACGTCTACATGAAACGTGCGGTGTTAAAATGAACTAACACCTACCAATTCATTAATTGTTGTCAGTTATCCGTTATCTAGCAGTTAACCTGCCTAATTGCACATAAATAAATCAAAAATTTGATTGGCCTCATCGTATACATTACTCGCAAAATATGACGATAATACACAACTCATCTAATAACCCAGGCCCTATGGGGCTCTTCGAGATCCGCACTAAAATTGAATCATACATTCTTATACTATAAAGAACCAAATCTAATAGGTCAAAAACGCTAAACCGATAATATAAGCGATAAATATGTCTGGTTTTGATGTTACAACTATTCTCGATAAGAAAGATAGAACATTACCCAAACCCTTTAACATTCGTCCTGGATATGATATGAAATATGTCGTGTCATATATTGGAAATTATTTTGCTTTTGATGGAAAACGATACGACGAACTCTTCGATAACGAGAGATCATTTGATACCTTATCTATCATAAAACAGAATGAAACACCTGTTCAATGGGCAATACGAGTAAGAATTCCATTACAAGATTTGTTAAATTCAGGAAAATTTAGTATATATCATCGATATTGTTTATTTATGTCATATGGTAAAGGTAAATTTAATAATTTCCATTATTATAGGCCAAGAATCCATAAAAGTCATATGGCTATTTGCTTCGATTGCTGGAAACTCATAAAAATCGATGATGTGAATCCTAAAAAATCATTCCATTTTACTAGACAGAGGTATATTGATCGTCTTGAACCTAAAGACCTGATGCAGGAACATTGGGATCACGAATGTAATAAACCAAAGACTGATTTTGGAAAAGCAAGAATTATACAAATAGCTTATCGAAATTATAAGAATAGACCCGAATCATTAGCAACCCAAGCTTGGAACGCAATCAGAGATGATGGTACTTCTAATGATGAAAAATTTCTAGGTTTAACTCGACATCAAGTAAAAAATCCTCAGACTCGAGAACAATTTAATCAATGGCGTACTAAATGGATTGAATTATATAAAAACAATCCCATGATGCGCAGTTGCATTATTAATAGACAATATAAAGAATATTATATTCCAGATAATTGGATAGATTCTAAAAAGAGTCAATTGCAAGTTAGATTCCAAAAGCGACTTTTAGAAATAGAAGCATAGTACTTTAGACTCTATTTCATTATCCCTGAGGCTGGTAACATTTTTTACTTTAGTTTTTATATACAGTTATTTTACCCGACACAAAAAACCCCCTTGATACAAATAGACTTTATTTATTTTTTCAACATCTACTTCAACCTCAATCAGGCTGGATACTGATAGCTATTTCATTGGAGAATAGTAGCGAATAAGATGTTAAAACCATCACTCTAACTTCACATCTGCTGGATAAGATCAGCTTCTCAATAATATAAGAAGTGGCAGATAGATGTATTTTATTAATGTGTCAATAAATAACGGGAAAAATAATTATCTGATTGTTTTAACCTTGGTTTATTCGTCTAATGTCAAAATTTTATCCCAACCAATTCGTACTCTATGTGGATGTTCAGGAGGTACACTTAAATCGAAAACAATAAATTTATGTTCACATAGATGCTTATTAACAAGTTTATAGATACTACGCCAGTCATTAACATATAAACGGAGTATTCTGCTTAACTCATCTGAGGTACAAGAGCCGTTAAAAAGTACAACATATTTTAAGTTTTTTCTTATTAGTTTTGGGCAGTCAAAATAGCTTTGTGATATATACATTGAACTAATATTGGAGTGGCGTCCCTCAGTAAAATAAGGTATAATCTTATCCTGGATTTTTTTCGATTCAGTACATACATCCTCAAATATAGCTACGGTGCCTCTTTCTGGAGAAAATGAATCTAGTTTTGGAATTTTATCAGGCTTCATAGCCCGAAATGTAATATCTTCACGATGTGACTCTGGACTATTTGCGATTATTTGATATGCCGATTTAAGGTACATATATTTGGGTTCCTTGAGATGGTGCCCAATAAGTACGACATCATCACACTTAATATCTCTAGCCCCTCCTTTTTTCCCATTAAACATTCGATAGAGTTTATTTCCAAGCAAAAGATTAACAACTTCAGTAGTTTTCCCTGAATTGGTCCGACCAGAGATTAAGCATGTGAAGGGCCATTGAGGAATCGAGTTTTTCGAGTTATATTTTTCTGGATTCTTGTATTCGTCGATATGGTATGCAAATCTCTCGACCGGTTCAAGCTTTTCTATTTTCATCTTGATCAAGCTGTCACTAATTATTATACCTGAAAAAATATTAATTGAACCAGATAAGTATTTAGAGTTTTACTTTTATTCACATCTGAGATGAGCACCTGGACTATATATACAGGTTCTGATATTCGGCTTTTGTTTTTTAAAGTTCTTTCTTGCAATTTTGGTGATACCCAAACAATCATCAAAATAAAATTCCCGAAGATTATGGCATGAATTTGCTATTTCATAAATAGTTGTATCTGTAATATCACACCCTTCAAGATGAAATATCTTTAAGTCTCGACACAGATTCACTAATATAGAAATACATTCGTCAGTTATATGGAGCCATGATATATTTAAAAATTCGAGTTTAGGACACGATCTCGCAATAGCCTTTATAGATATATCAAAGTTAATATCTATACTGGTGTTATCATAATCTACGAAAGAAAAGCAATGCATATTGGGGTGTGAAATAGCTATAGCACAAATTCCGTCATTTGTAATATTGCATGATTCACACAAGGATAGATGACAAAGATTTGGACAAGAATATGCAATTTCTTTCAATGATAAATCAGTAACATTTGGACCTCCTATATTAATATATTCCAGCTTTTGACATAATTTAGCGATTTCAATAACTGAAGTATCCGAAATATTAACACTATATCCTAAGTTAAGATAAGTCAGATTCGGACATGAGACTGCAATTTTATAGAGAGTTTTATCCTTAATATTATGATAAGAATGAGTATTTCCCCTATTATTGCGCAGTTTAAGATATCTTAATTTTGAATGTACAATTTTCCCAATAATTTTACTAGAGAACCCATTACAATAGCTTATAATTACACGGTGTAAGTTTGGACATAAATTTCCAATTTGATATAGGGTATCATTAGTAACTTCACATTTTTGAATAAAAAGACAACCCAATCTTGATGCATAAAAAGGCGATCGTGTATTTATTGATTTTGTAAATCGTTCCCACGACCTGTAACGTTTTTTATTACTGCCATAGAAACAAGCTTCTTTCCATAATATTGGAATAGAACACATGTACCACAATCGATTGACAAATAAGCTTGGATATAAAGCTCCATCTGTGCCAAGATGATAAAATATATCAGTTAAAATCTCAGGTAAGTTTAGTGGATGCATTTTATTATACGTCATACTTACAATTTATTTTTTATCCTGTAAATAACCTTTCTCAATTAAAATGTTTCGGATAAAATCATATAAATCCGCATCATACGGTATTTCAATAAGATCTATACCTCGCTCTTTGCATATATCTCGCTTTTTTTGATCACGGTTCCATTGTGCACCTAGGTCAGCCCCGCCATTGGGGTGAAAATGTTTTGGAACAACACGAAAATGTTGTATGCCGTTGAATTCGAATGCTAATTTTAATTCTTCATTATACCCGTCTAATTGCATCCCATTCAAAAATGGCGGTTTACAGGATGGAAATTTCTTACCTAACAGATCTTCGAAAATATATCTACAGCGACGCTCATCGATGTGATGGAAGCAAAGTGGACACCATTCAAATTTCGTAGCTATTAATGGATATGGATATTCCCACTGATGCTTTCCGTTTTCACAGGACCAAAGATATACGTCGAACCCATTTATATGACCAGTTTTACCAAGACACTCCCCACCACGCTTCCTGGCATATTGTTGTGCTTTAGCAATTTTATTAATAACACGGATGAAATTAACAGACCTGGAACGAGTGTTTTCTTCCAATATACTCTGGGGCGGATACTGGAGCGTATCCATATCTACGTGCATAAGCTCTTCTTCCACAAACCCACGCTTTGGAGCATATTCATCATCGTCATCTCCGAGATAATATAAAATTGGTTCATTCTTCGTTATCATGATTTTGCGAATTTTATGTAATGAAGGACTCCATACCGGATCCGTGGCTCTTTTCTGATTCTCCATACCTCCTTCCCACTCTGCATTAGCAAGCAGATAGCGAACTGTATCACCTTTCTTCAACCTATTCTCCTCATATTTCCCAACAGGACGCTTATACTTTGTAGATGGTCTAGATTCAACTCGTTCTAACCGAATGGCCAGTTTGGGAGCTAAACCCCATTTTGATGAACCTGGAGCTCGAATGAGACGTGTCGGATAATTATTAAGATAATCTATTACTTC